TCTATTTGCCATGAAGTGATGGGACAGGATGCCATGATCTTTGTTTTTTGAATGTTGAATTGTAAGCCAGCTTTTTCACTCTCCTCTTGCACCTTCATCAAGAGGCTCTTTAGTTCCTCTTCACTTTTGCCATTAGAGTGCTGTCCTCTGCATGTCTGAGGTTACGGATATTTGTCACAGCAATCTTGATTCCAGCTTGTGCTTTATCCAACCCAGCATTTCTCATGATGTACTCTGCATATAAGTTAAGTAAGCAGGATGAAAATATTCAGCTTTGATGTATTCCTTTCCCAATTTGGAACCAGCCTGTTGTTCCATGTCTGGTTCTAACTATTGCTTCTTGACTTATATACAGATTTCTCAGGAGGCAGGTTAGGTGATTTGGTATTCCCATCTTTTAAGAATTTTCCACAGTTTGTTATGATCCACACAAAGGCTTTGGCGTGGTCAATAAAGCAGAAGTAGATGTTTTTCTGGCACTCTCTCACTTTTATGATGACCCAGCAGATGTTGACAATTTGATCTCTGGTTCTTCTGCCTTTTCTAAATCCTGCTTGAATATCTAGAGGTCCTCAGTTCATGTACTATTGAAGCCTGACTTGGAGAATTTTGAGCATTACTTTGCTAGTGCGTTAGATGAGTGTAATTGTGCAGTAGCTTGAGCATTCTTTAGCATTGCTTTTCTTTGTTAATATACAATATTTGTTTTTCTCTTTCTGACTTATTTCACTCTGTGTGACAGACTTTAGATTCATCCTCATCTCTAGAAATGACCCAATTTCATTCCTTTTTATGGCCAAGTAATATTTCATTGTATACATGCACCACATCTTTTTTATCTATTCTGCTTTAGTATCCTTTGTAACCCAGTTCCTCTCCACCAAGGTAGACTTTTACCCAAGTCAGTCCCCTTCCTGCAGAATGACACAATTTCCCCCTTTCACTGTGTTTATACTGAGATGTTACCTGTTAAACTTTTGTGTCTGAGTTGACTCTGCTGAATTTAATATCCATCTTCTCCATGAAATGCTTTCATTTCCTACTCTAGCCTGGAGTTAGCACCCTTCTTTCCTACCTCTTCCCAATTCCTTTAACACCAATGATTCAACTCTCTTTCTATCGTATACAATTATGCTTTATACTGCTATAAAACTTGGCTATGCATGCACCCCTGATCTTACCAACTAGGCTGTCAGTTCCTGGTCAGGAAATTTTTGTCTTACATGTTCTTATATCACTCACCAAAGCCAACATAAATCTTATACACAAAAGTTACAGATTTTTAATTATATGAGAAGTAGAAAGAATAACTCCTTATTATCTCTCTCTTTTAGATTTTTCTTTTCAGTTGGCTTCCAGATATCATTACTATTCTGGTCTCTTAGCAATAAGCTTTTGTCGTTTAGTCACTAAGTCAGGTCCAACTCTTTGCAACCCAAGGACTGTAGCCTACCAGGCCCCTTTGTCCATGGGATTTCCCAGGCAAGAGTACTGGACTGGGTTGCTGTTTCCTTCTCTAGTGGATCTTCCCAACCCAGGAATGGAACCTGTGTCTCCTGCTTGGCAGGTGAATTCTTTGTCACTGAGCCACCTGATAGCCCAGGTATAAGTCACTGTGGTGTAAGTCATGAGAGTTCCTGGTTATACCTTGTGGTATTTGTTGTTGCTATTGTTCAGTCACTGAGTCATGTCCAACTCTGTGTCCCCATGGACTGCAGCATACCAGGCTTCCCTGTTCTTCACCATCTCCCAGAGCTTGCTCAAACTCAAGTCCATGGAGTTGGTGATGCCATCCAACCATCTTGTCCTCTGTCGTTCCCTTCTCCTCCTGCCTTCAATCTTTCCCAACATCAGGTTCTTTTCTAATGAGTCATTTCTTCCCATCAGGTGGCCAAAGTACTGGAGCTTCAGCTTTAGCATCAGTTCTCCAGTGAATATTCAGGATTGATTTCCTTTAGGATTGACTGATGTGATCTCTTTGCAGTCCAAGGGACTCTCAAGACTCTTCTCCAACACCACAGTTCAAAAGCATCAGTTCTTTGGTGCTCAGCTTTCTTTAGGGTCCAACCCTAACATCAGTACATGACTACTGGAAAAACCATAACTTTGACAATACGGACATTTGTTGGTAAACTAATGTCTCTGCTTTTTAATACACTGTCTAGGTTTGTCATAGTTTTTCTTCCAAGGAACAAGCATCTTTCAATTTCATGGCTGCAGCCACCATCTGCAGTGATTTTGGGGCCCAAGAAAAGTCTGTCACTGTTTCCATTGCTGTTTCCATTATACCTAGTGGTATAAGTCATCAGAATTCCTGGTTTGGGACCCTAGGAGAGGTTAGTTTCTCCCATAGAAAATGAGGATATTAAATACTATTACACTTGTCCTTTGAATTGCCAGAAAGTCAAATGAAACAATATATTGTGGTTTACACTGAATTTATTTTGTAAGTACATATAGATGGAGAAGTCAGTTAATATGTTTTTTAAAATAATTGACTTCATCATGGACAATATCCAATCTGATACCCTTCCTGTTTTCCATTGATACTGGGTCACTTTTCCTCTGGGCAATAAGTATTTGTCCTTAAACTTGGGGTAACATATACAACTTGTTCATCCCTAAATGAAAGTCCCAGGGAAAAATCATAGATCTCATTCTAGTAGAACTCTAGATACTAGATTTTTCCTCATTTGCAGAGGTAATTGAAAAGTATATGGTCATTGGTGAAACAATTCATTGTGATGTATTCATCTTTTTAGATTAAGCTGTGAGACACAAGTTCATGGCAGGTGCTGTGTTCTTTAATGGAACTTAGTGGATCTTAATAGAAGCTAAATAAGTAAAGAAATGTCTTCTTCCTTCTGCTCTATATATGTTAGCTAACATTTAAGCACATTAACCTTCCCCCTCTACAAACAAGTCTTTAGGTGAAGGGGAAGTCTTCACCTAAAAGAGGCATAGTTGTTCTATTTCATCTTTCATTCCTTTACCCTGCCATTCACTGCACAAATACTTATTGTTTGTACATTACAGGGCAGGCACTATTTGAGGCTTTAGAGGTACAGAAGTGAACAAAAAGAAAATTATCTCTGCATTTTAGGTGTCTATACTCTAAAATCAGAGACAGTAAAACAAATAAATAAAATAGTACAATGGTTATAATAGCTATGTAGGATGTTAACAGGGTGATGTGAAAGAGAGAATAACAGGGTATGGGCTACATGAGATGGGATGAGCAGAGGTCATTCTGAGAATAGCATATGGACTAATTTGCAAAGAGTTGTGGAAAGAATCTTTGGGGACAGTGAGAATGGTTAGTGCAAAGCCCCTGAGGTATGAGAGAGCTTGACAAGTTCAAAATACAGAAGGGGGGGGGTGATATATAGGTAAATAGGAGTGAAAAAGTAGACAGTCATCTACCTTTTCAAGTTGAAGAAGTAAGTGGCCAAAACCAAGATTCAAGTTGAAGAAGTAAGTGGCCAAAACCAGGAGTGAGAACAGAAATGAGCTGGCAACTGATGAAAGAAGTAAAGTCCCTAAGTAACCCATGTCTTAGTCTCCAAAGCCTGAAACCAGCTTGGAACCTTTGGCTCACCTCATCTGAGCAGTGGTGTATGAGTTGTCTTCTCTAATTCTGACCTTCTTCTGTTGATTTTACTCAGGAAAACTCCTGGTTGGGAGGTCGTGGGGAGACACTTTCCTATGCAAATAAGATAATTATTCAAGAAAAATGGCCTAATGTAGTGTAGACAAATAAGTTAAATATTCTCCATCGTCCTATGGGGTTTCTTAGAAATCAACATGTTTCCCTTTGATTTATAAACTCATGGCTTTGAAAGAAAGTTTAAACTGGAAAGTTCTCATTCATTTAAATCCAGCATAACATTTGCTTACAGTTGTTTGAAGTTTAAGAAACCCCTTGAGACTTATTTATTTTAAGAATCAGCCATTTAAGATGTAAAAGCCCTTTTAGCTCTTTTCATTCTTAAGAACAGGAAATTATGATTTTTATAAACACAAATAAACAGAAAAGTCTGATGCTAGAGTTCAGTTTGCAACATAAAAAGTAATGGTGCTGGAGTCAGTTTCAAATTAGGCAAATAGATTCACACTTCCATGGTTTGATGAGAAAAATCAGACTTTGGTAAAATGAGGAATGGCTGTCTTTTATGTAGAGTAGCAAACTATAGCAGGATATCAAGAGTTTAACTCTGCATATTTTTTCACTTCACCTCAGCTCAGTGAGTTACTGAATTTCAGAGATTCCAGAAATACCAAACCTTTAGGAAAAAATTATCCAATCATAAACTGACAGTGTTTGAAGAGACTTTATAAAAGGTCATTTTATTGGTTAAAGCATTCTGAGTTGCAAGTGACAGATAATCCACCCACACTGGGCTTAAACAAAAGAAGAAATTATCTTATGTGACTGAAGAAGTCAGAGGTAACGGGGGTTTCGAGCAGGGGAGAAAGGAAGAGACTCAAACAATGTCATCAGAACTCCAGGTCCTTCTACCTCTAAGCTTTGACTTCCCCTTTAGGCTTCATGTAATAGCAAGGTGGCTGTAAGTAACCTGGAGCCATATATTCATTCTTGGGTTCCATTGAAATCCCATGGAGAATTACCGAGACACTCTGGCCAGTTTCTCAGTAATTGTTTCAAGACTCCCCGCATCTCTGATTGGGTCAGGAGTTCATTCCTGAGCCAATCACGGCACTTGAGGAGTCTGATTCTCTGATTGGCCTGGCTCCAGAATTACAAGTTAACGGTGAATCTAGGGATTTGAGTGCATTTCGCTTGAACCACAGGGATAGAGGTAGAGAGGTGATATTCCAGAGGAAAAACTGGAGAGTCAAACAAATCATCCAACAAACAGAGCCAAACAAAAATGTCCACCCTAGAGCCTTCTGCACCGGTTCATCTGATGTCTGAGTCCCTTGAATTGGGAAAGTGGAATAGGAGCCTGGATCCAAGTCCTAGCTCTGCCATAACTTACCTGGCTGATGGGGCCCCGTGGCTTCACTTCTCTGCACTTCAGGATCCTTGCTTCTAAAAGCAACTTGATGCTGTCTCCGAGTTCTCTTCCAGCTCTGAAATGGTAACGATCCCAAGCTTGCCAAATGAGAATGGGAAGATTCTTCTGGCCTAAGATTTCATGGAAAAGCAAACGGAAGCAGCCCCAGGTGCAGGGCAGAAAAGGGAGCCAGCAGACCCCGGGCCATGGAGCAAAGGAAGCAAAGAGAATGCCCTGGGGAGCGGGGTCAACTCTGGGACAGGACATCTCTCTGCAAGCTAAGGAGCACCCTCCAGTCTCTGCTGAGTACTCTGGGAGTGAGTGTACTGGAGCAGCGGAGATAGTTGCCATAGAGAGGGATAAATAGACTGTTGTTTGGTGCAATAACTTGGTTTCTGCCAGGAAGTTTCACACTCAAAATAAATATTATATATGGCTCCCATCAGCAGTGCCTAATCCGGAAAGGAAAAAAATGTATATTTTAGGAGGTGTTTTAATAAAGTGCTATGATTCTAGATGTTCATGACTTCCCATATAAAATCCTTGAAGTCATATATGTTTTGGAATCCAATTTTTTAGCTTTTGAAAAACAAATATGGAACATGTACCATATATTACCCAAAGTGGGATATAGTGTAGAAGCCTAGTCATCAAGTCAATATTTCTACAGTAAAACTTACTAATGTTCACATTGAGAGGTAAATAAAGACTAAAATTAGTCTCCTATTAGGTCAGATCAGATTTCTGAGAAACAACAACAACACTGTTTTAAGGTTTTTTTGGATTTCAGAGTTATGGATAAAGCACTACAGACTTATAAGTGCCAGAGCTAAGTAAGATTATTTTGGAAAAGATTAAAAGAGATGGAATATTAGTTTAAAAATGAAATTGCTTTTATTTATTAATCAGGGACATAGAATTTACTTCCTTGTCTTTTTCATCTGTGCTAGTCTCCAGTAGGTGTTCAGTAACTCTTGGTGAAATGAATATTGGCCGTGTTCTCACCATTACCCCGGTGTTCAGTAACTCTTGGTGAAATGAATATTGGCCGTGTTCTCACCATTACCCCAAATTCTCCACTGAATGTGTGTGTGATTGGTCATGTCTGACTCTTTAGGAGCCCTGTGGACTGCAGCCTGCCAGGCTCCTCTGTCCGTGGGGATTTCCAGGCAAGAATACTGGGGGTGGGTTGCCATGTCCTACTCCAGGGGGTCTTCCCGACCAAGGATCAAATCCTCCTCTCTTGCATCTCCTGCATTGGCAGGTGGACTCTTTACCACTGCGCCACCAGGGAAGCCTCACCCCAAATCCTAGGAACTATTTATAGTTCTCCCAACATGCTCAAGCCACCTTACCTTGTTCCTTTGCCCATGGTATCCTCACTTTCTAAAGCTGCCCATCCCCTCAAATGCCTTGCTAACTTACATTTGTGATTCAGACTCAGTTCAGACCCCTGTTCCTTTAGGAAGTTGTTCAGATCATGCCCAGCTGGGCCCTCCTCTGTACACCTATAGTGAGCACTCTGTTTTTAATCCTATTACAACATACTTTATAATGTCTATATTCTTGCATGGGATTGTTAGATTTCTATGAGCAGTGGCCAAGAAATTCATATTCTATTACCTACAAATATTCATAATATCCCACAATAAATTTTTGATGAAAGAATACACACACACACACACACACATAAACTCACACATCCCACATATTAAGGGATGAATATTGGTGAATGAATACATACACATATACACACACACTCACATCCCACATAAAATTCAATATGTCCTTTCACTTTTCCAAAATGTAAAATATTGGCCCATGAAATCTAGGAAATGTTTCTTTGCTTTTTCATGACTCAAATGACTAGTATATCATTCAGCGTAGGCAGGGTTACCCTGAAGTAAAAACCAATCTGGAATCTTGGAGGCCACCTGGGCCCTAAGCAGCTCAACCCCCTCATGTGCACAAGTCATGAAACATCTGGAGTATGCAAGGACCAGCAGAATTTCAGCTATGAAGACATTCAGTTTGCTGTTGACACTTAGAACCAGATTTATGAGTAAAAGCTCACAGTTTATTATCACATGTTGACTTTTAAAAAGCAACTTCTAGATCAATATCAATTTGTTTTATTCTACTTCTTCTACGTCAGCTTCTAAAGGCCTGATTCTCTCAGTCTTTACATCTTTTTAAAAAATTTTAATTTGACATAGGAGTAGAGTTGATTAACAATGTTGTATGAGTTTCAGGTGTATAGTAAATTGATTCAGTTTATACATATATATGTATGATTTCTTTTTCAGATTCCTTTCCCATTTAGCTTGTTACAGAATACTGAGCGGAGTTCCCTATGCTATACAGTAGGCTCTTGTTGATTATCCACTGTATGCTATATTTAAATGGAAAACTAACAAGGACCTACTATATAGCACAGGGAACTCTGCTCAATGTTATGTGGCAGCCTGGACGGAAAGGGGGTTTGGAGGAGAATGGAAACATGTATACGTATGGCTGAGTCCCTTTGCTGTTCACCTCAAACTATTGCAGCATTGTCAATGGACTATATCCCAATACAAAATAGAAAGTTCCAAAGAAAAAAAGAATAAATAAATATAGCAGTGTGTATATGTCCATCCCAGAGTCCCAATCTGTCGTTTCCTGGACCACCACATACCCAATCATCTAAGGAGTCCTTCCCCCCTTCCTCTTTCTGCTCTTAAAACCCTAACCATCACCCCTGTGTGTCTGGGTTATAGCACTAGCTTGCTGAGTATCCTGCGTCTCCTACTTCAACCCGTCTCTACACCTTACAGCTAGAATAATCCTACTAGAACATTCTTTTGCATGTCAGTGTTTCTCCGGAGTTTACAGAATAAAATATTAAAGCTATCGCTTAGTATTCAAGGCCTGTTGTCATTTGTCCCTGACCTCCACTATGACCTCATTTTCTTATTATCTCCTCTGAAAGCCTTTGGCTCATGTGCAGGGGCCCTCTTTGAGTCTCTGTGTCTTATCTGGCCTGGCTTAATAACAGTTCTTATCTCTTAGGGTTGTCCTTAAGATTGAATGAAACAATGTATTATAAATCTCCTAGCACACTGCCCTATGGTACCGTTTGCTCTTGATATTACTATGGCACATGGTTAAAAATACATATGACAGGGACTTCCCTGGAGGTCCAGTAGTCAAGACTTTACCTTCGATTGCAGGGGCATTGGATTTGGCTCCTGGTTGGGGAGCTAAGATCCCCCATGACTTGTGGCCAAAAATCAAAACAGAAACAGAAACAATATTGTACCAAGTTAAATAAAGACTTTAAAAACAGTCCACATCAAAAAAACTCTTTAAAAACACACATGACACCTTTGTGACACTCATCAGCAATACCTTTTTAATTATCAGTGTCCTGTGGTGTGCCAGTGCATCCTTCACTCATTATTACCCTGAGCACAGAGAGCATTCTAACCAACACACACAGGTCAGTCATTCACATTTGAAAACCATATAAATAGTTCTCACTTAGTGCTTTTTGGTGAATAGTTCCAGTTCCCATCATTCAAATGATGGCATGACAGTATAGTCCTCAGTCTTATGGAGTTTCACTGTGACTGCCAATAGTTAAGCAGCCACTCAAAAGAGGTATCATTTTGAAGATCAAAGTATTTGCTTTTTTAGCTGCCAGGGATGGAGTGTTATAAATCCACTATGCTGTGTAGTTTTTTCTTTTAATTGAAGTATAGTTGATTTACAGTGCTTCAGCTACAGCAAAGTAATTCAGTTATACATATTAATATGCATATGTATATATATTAATATACATATATTAGTTTCTTTTCTATTGTAGGTTATGAGAAGATATTGCATATAGTTCTCTGTGCTAAACAGTAGGAACTGTTGTTTGTCTATTTTACATATAGTGATATTTATGTTAATACCAGACTCCTGATTTATCCCTACCCCTCCTTCCCGCTTTGGTAACCATAAGCTTGTTTTTCATGTCTGTGGGTCTGTTTTGCAGATCAGTTCATTTGTATCATTTGTTTTGGATTCCACACATAAGTTATATCATATGATATTTGTCTTTGTCCAACTTACTTCCCTCTTCACTTAATATGATAATCTCTAGGTCCATCCATGTTGCTGAAAATGATGTTACCTCATTCTTTTTCATAAATGAGTAATATTCATATATATATGAATTATATATAATATATAGTTATATATCTTATAATTATAAAATATAAAATATATCTGCCCTGGTGGCTCAGACAGTAAAGAATCTGCCTGCAGTGTGGGAGACCTGGGTTTGATCCCTGGGTTGGGAAGCCCCCTGGAGGAGGGCATGGCAACCCACTCCAGTATTCTTGCCTGGAGAATCCCCATGGACAGAGGAGCCTGGTGGGCTACAGTCCATGGGGTCACAAAAAGTTGGACACGACTGAGCAACTGAGCACTGCATATATATATATATATATAAAATGCTAGGAGGGATTGGGGGCAGGAGGAGAAGGGGATGACAGAGGGTGAGATAGCTGGATGGCATCACTGACTCGATAGACATGAGTTTGAGTAAACTCCAGGAGTTGGTGATGGACAGGAAGGCCTGGCATGCTGCGATTCATGGGGTCGCAACGAGTCGAACACAACTGACCGACTGAACTGAACTGATACATAAATATATGTATGTATATAAAATATCTTCTTTATATATACGTATATATGTAAACATACATATCAGTTCAGTCACTCAGTCATGTCCGACTCTCTGTTACACCATGGACTGCAGCACACCAGGCTTCCCGGTCCATGCCAACTCCCAGAGCTTGCTCAAACTCATGTCCATCAAGTCAGTGATGTCATCCAACCATCTTGTCCTCTGTCATCCCCTTCTCCTCCTGGCTTCAGTCTTTCCCAGCATCAGGGTCTTTTCCAATGAGTCAATTCTTCACATCAGGTGGCTAAAGTACTGGAGCTTCAGCTTCAGCATTAATCCTTCCAATGAATATTCAGGATTTATTTCTTTTAGGAATGACTGGTTTGATCTCCTTGCAGTCCAAGGGACTCTCAAGAGTCTTCTCCAACACCACAGTTCAAAAGCATCAATTCTTTGCTGCTCAGCTTTCTTTATAGTCCAACTCTCACATCCATACATGACTACTGGAAAAACCATCAGTCCAGTTCAGTTCAGTCACTCCATCATGTTCGACTCTTTGCGACCCCATGAATCACAGCACGCCAGGTCTCCCTGTCCATCACCAACTCCTGGAGTTTACTCAAACTCATGTCCATCGAGCTGGTGATGCCATCCAGCCATCTCATCCTCTGTCATCCCCTTCTCCTCCTGCCCC